CATACGTGTGGAGGAAAGAAGGAAAATATTTTCCGTGAGAAATTTCGCCAATCAAACAGTCAAAAAAGTGGAAAGTGGAAAATATTTTCCTAGTTCCCTGGAAAATTTGGCGTAACAAACAGGCCTTATATTCAAATATTACTTTTACACCACTTATAAAACATTTCATAATATCGTGTAACGCACGTTCAACGTTGACTAGTTATTCTAAAAATTATGATTCTGATCTTTTATTTCCATTACTGAATCAACAGAAAGGTTTGAAAATTTCACTAAACAATGAGTCCTGTCTGGTATTTTTTGAGATAATTTGTATTGTAGATCAATAGCAGTATACAAGTTACATGATCGAATCAACATAAGGGATTGAAAATTTCACTAACTAAATACTATATATATGTAAATAAAATGATTTATTTTTGAATGAATAATGAAAATAAACCCAAAACATGCAATAAAAATATACAGATATAATACAGTCGACCTTACACTATCAGATATAACAAAATATGCGAGTTCTCATTTACTCAAAATTTATTAGAAATATAAGTTAGTTGCTATTGATGATTGATGACCGCCACTAATCACAATTACAAGATTAAAATAAGTAGGTTTTAAAGCATTTGACATTGACACAACATAGATGAAGATTTAATTTAAAGATTGAGAAACAAATAAAGCTCATTATAAATGCACGTTGTCTAAGCTTAAAAAATTTATAACCAGTAATAAATATGGAGAAAAATGTACTATATAGACATGATCGAACAAAATCATTGAAGCCCCTTATTGTTTTTTTTTTCCCCTGAAAAAACATTTTTTTACTAGATTTTCATAAATTTTTTTAAAATATGTGGTTAAAAAGTTTATAAAAATTATGAATCACAAAATATGTGTGATTATATTTAATTATTAACTTTGACTTAGATTTTTATCAATTTTTTTTTTTACTCAGGTATCCAATTTTCGCTTGATTAATCATGAGTGTCGGTATTCCTCCCTTGTTCGTCACCCGAGTAAATCGGATGAGATCATAGCTTATAAACACTGGGATCAGATATTTGGAAAGCGATTTTCGTCGTTATCGATGTGCAGATGGGACCCTAGAAGGGTGACATAATGCACCATGATCTTGTCTCCACATGACATCTACCTTCCAACATAAAAATTGTCTTCTAGCTATTGCGTGGATTCAAATCTTGATACTCCGTAAGAACTTTCATACTTTACCACTAAGTCAAGCCTATTAAGGGCAACTTTTTTATTTGAACCAAAATTTGTCTTAATGAAAATATTGAATATAGGAATTATTACAATTGTTTTTCAAGGGATGATATGATATATTTGCGCGAAAGCATGGGATTGAAAATGTACTCGTGTGGATTGGGTGCATACTAGTTTCTTCTGGCATAAGAAATTCTTCTAGTAACTACAAGCCTAATATTTTCAATAAATATGAAGTATGAACAGAATTTTAGCGCCTCCAAGTCACCCTAATCGTTTGAGTAGTCATACAAGGAAATCCAGTGAGTAGTCAAAGAGAGACTTCTTGCCCAAGTTTTAAAAGAGAACAAGTAAATGGCAACTATCTACAACACTTGGCAAGCACACATGCCATAGAGGTCATGAGCCTAGAATAACTCGACACTGCTAAAGATGCTTACAGCGAGACCAATGCCACGCCAACAACCGGTAAACATAAAAGTCCCTGTAGCAACCAAGTGCGCACCCTATATTCCATGTCCAACTTAGCGTTTAAAATCGACTTCTAGAGAGAGTGTGTAGTTAACCGAAACCTAGAGGTTGGTTTCAAAAGAATAATTTCAGAATTGGAACCGAGAAATGAAAACCACCAAATCCGGATCGGTTCTTGGTTTTTGAATGAGAACCGCGGATACCCAACTCTAAAATCGAATGTCATTTTTTATAAATTTTTATTTATTAAAATTGATTCGATATAAATTAATGACCGTGCCCCTGCAAGTTTGCAAGGATCAGCTAGTGGTAAGCTCAGTAGTAGGTACATAGTCAATCAAATTCATTCATTTGAATATTGATTAATATAGCTTTTGTTTATAGTCATTTCTAACACACTTTACTCGTTCGTCTCGCAAACTTTCTTGAGATGCCGCATGCAGAGCCACAATTCGAATTGGATATCATTATCCTGTATTGAATATTATTTGGTGACATATTTGCACTCAATGAAGAAAGTGGTGAAATATGTATTTGGTGATTGAAGTCAAAAAACAATTATTACACCACTGATGTGGCACCGCCACATCAGCGGTGGGTAGAGTTTTCTCCTGCCCACTGGGGGCAGGAGAACACTCCTGTGATTAATATAGCTTTTGTTTATAGTCATTTCTGACACACTTTACTCGTTCGTCTCGCAAACTTTCTTGAGATGCCGCATGCAGAGCCACAATTGGAATTGGATATCATTATCCTGTATTGAATATTATTTGGTGACATATTTGCACAGTGGTGAAATATGTATTTGGTGATATATTTTATTTATTTTATTTTTACTAAATATTGAAAAAATATTTTGTGCTGTCAGATCACGATTTATATATATATATGTCATGGGTAAAATCCAACCTGAACTGAAACCGACATTATCCGTTTGGGTCTGGTCCCAATAACTATGTGAACCCAAGTGGTTTCATTTATGAAATATCCGAAGTATAATGGATGATTATAATTATTGAAATACCCAAACCAATCCACCCGATGCCTAGGCGTACTTATAAGTCCATAAATATACAACAAGTTCACATCATAACCGAGGAAATGATGAAATGGAATGCAAATCCTCAGCTGGAAACTTGTTTGGACGACACATGCAAAATCAAACACCAAAATACAAACCGAGGAAAAAGAGGGTGGTTCCTGCGAAATGATTATCAAAAACAAGAATTCAAATATAAATGTAACATTTTCAAAATTGTCTTCACTGTAATTGACTCAGTACTGAGATGAAAAATACATCAAGCAATGAATCGCGGTCTCTACAGCTTGACCAAGGAGAAAAAAATTACAAATCAAATATCAGACAGGGAAAAAGGAACTATGCACAATCAGTATATAATTTACACAAAACAAAGCACAAATACCTGCAAAACCACCTTCATCATCAATGCTTACATTTCTGAATACATTCAGATGAAAGCAGGCCAACAAACCTAAAAGAATATCAAATCTCGTCTGCTTTTCTGCTACAGTTGGTCTCGTGTTATTATTAACAGATTGTCAAGGTTTAGGATTCATCCTCTTTCGAGATTTCTAATTGGCAGGGCAATAGATTAAGAAAACTTCCATTAGCAGAATTTGATTCTTCATCTGTTACAATTAAAACAAGGATACAAGTTAACACTTATGAGAATAATCAACAGGGTTTATATATCCAGCAAATTATAATGAGAATAAATTCTTTAGCATCCACAAACACAAAATTTCGTAATGTCTAATTTACCTTAAAAGAAAATTTTGATTTTATCCTTCACTTCTAACCATCACTTCCTTCCATCCTCACCTCCTCCTAACCCCACCCTTCCGGTCTGTTGCAAAGGTGCCTCTTCACAACAACAGGGTGGAGGTGGAGGTGGAGGTGGAGGTGAGATATGTATGGAGTAAATCAGGGGTATTTTTGAAATAATAGGGATGCATATTCTAATATTGTTAAATTTTGAATTGGAAAAAGAGGGTACATAGAGAAACATGGGTGTTAATAGAAGCCTTCTTAAAATTGCTAAACGGAATAAAAAAACAAAATTTTGTATAGGAGATTACTCCACTGTACGAGTAATCAATTAAAGGGGAAGGCCCCAAGAACAATAGATAAACTAAATAATTATGTTAGGAAAAGTGTCCTATTGAAAAATCAAGAAAGCAGACTACAAGGATACAACAAAGTTAAGAAAATTTTTCATGTAGTACAAGGAGATGTCCACTTTTGTCCACTTGGAACGAGCAGAAAATTGCTCAAGAGAGTCTCAGACAGAAGCATTTGCTGTTATATTTTCAATTTCACGAGAAAGATTATAACTACTGTTGGTTGACAACTATAACTATACAAATATCTTTTTATCAGGAAAAAAAAATGGCACCAGCCACAATGATCTAAATAGCAGTAAACACAGAACAAATTTGTTACAGATTATATAGTTTCTTATTTGAAATATCTATCTGCACAAAAACTAAAGCCCTCACATTTTTTCTCATTTCTAATTCACAAAGGAGTGCAACTTGGAGAAATTCGCAAGTACTCTCATTTTGTTACACTATGAGCTTAGAGCATTGTCAAATTTGTTTCCAATTGAATGAAGAAGTATCAACAAGATTGTTCTGAATTCTTCAAATGTACATGAAATTTCTCGAACAAATATACCCATTGGCTGTATTCATCATCCAATACCAGATCTCATTTTCTAACCGTACTAGAGTGTAGCAACAGTAGTTTACATATTATACTCCCCCACCCCCACAATGCAACAAGAAGAAACAAAAATGTTTTGGGCAAAAATAAACTACTAGCAAGTTTGGGGTCGCAGTATAGGACCACAACCAATAATGCACATCTACGTCAGAATATAGCATGCAGAAACAAATTCAAGCATGCAACTATCAGAAAGGGAAAAAGAATCCTACTGAAAAGGGACTTCACGGTAGGTCTCTTAGGTTTGGTGCTTTTCTTCTTCAGTTCAGCTACGAAGAAAAAGAGAGGAATTCAGAAACTAGTCAAGATCATAAATGTTGAATTAAAAGAAAAAAGAGATTAAATTTTCAACAAAAAGAAACAAATAATAGATATACCATGCATTTAAAAGAAAAATAAATATAAATGAAGAAATAATATGATCTCTGCATGGCATGTGATTTGTAATCCTAGAAATGGACAAGCTCAACCACAAGAAAGTGCAAGTTACCTATCCCAGGAACTTCATGGTCATTCACAATTTCAAAGTTCTTGTATGTGTAACCCATAAAGTTGACATCTTTAGATGAAAGCATCTGCAACCAGAAAACTTTGCACAAATTTATTAGGTCTGCATACATCATAGGCATAATGTCACAAACTAAATTAACAATACATAATATGCTTCAGTATTGACAATAAAACCGAATAGAACTCTCCCTAAGGAAGCCTCAATTTACTAATATTTGTTCTTATGGTCCAGGACCAATCAAACAATTTATATATTTCCAATGAAAGGAGCGAAGAAAACTCAAATTCCATTAAATTGCAGCTGAAACACATAGAAGGAAGAATTCTTGTATCCACTCCTTAGTATTATTATTTGAAAAGTTATAGCACAAAAAACCAATGTTTTTAAAAGAGTAATTAGCACATAACATCCCTACCTTCCATTTTTTGGCATTCTTACATGCGTAATCAATTTTTTTCCAAAGGGAAGGGTATTCTCGTTTTAAAACATTTTTCCTCTTTCCTCCCTTACACTGAATGTGAAATGCATATTTTCCCCCTTTCAAATCCAAACAGTTTTCCCCTTTATTCCCTTTCTTAGAACATTCTTTTCCTTCTCCTCTCTTCTCCTCACCGCCAGTGAAAGCACATAGTGAAGGATACACACTGAAGCGAAGATAAATTGTTATTTTTGGGTTGCGTATTTTTGTTTTCCATTCATTTTTTCCTTTTAAGTGATTGATAGGAAAATGATGAACAGTTTTTTTTTTATAGGGTTCCAATTTTGGCTCCTTTGTAGCAGAATTATGCACTTCGGCAAATGACAGTGTGATGTATAATGATGCAGAAAATACAGAAGCTGCTGGGAGTACTGAATTGAAAGCCATGCCGAAGGATTTGAGTCAAGAAATGAATCATTTTCATGGTTTTCTTCCATCTGAAATGGATCTTGCAAAATTTGGTGCTGATGTTGAAAGTTAATTAGGTAAAAGGCTTGGAGATGAGTCATTTGCTATTGAAGGGTTGGGATTTTTGAGCTGTGAAAAAGAAAATCATGACTCAAAAGAATGTTCTTTTGGCAGTGGTGAAAAAGTTAAGGTTGAAGATGGTATAGATGTCGGGAAAGCCATACCTTAAACATTAGTTGTTGAAGTCAGAGAACTCAAGTCTATATAAACCACACATCGAAAGCCCATACTTTCGATGTGGAATTCAAGTCACATACCTTGCAATAGAAATCATAACAATTCATCACGCTCTGCAATCCTAGCATTGTACTAGTCCATGACTAGTCCCAGATGAATACTACTATATCAGCGTCACCATTCGCACCGCTCGATTGCAACCTAAAGACATGGTGCTTGCTCTGATACCATTAACATAGATCTTGAGGGAGCCATACCTCAAAAGCTATGTAGGGACGTTTTGCACAATAATAATAAAAGATGAGGACAGTATGTGCTAATTACCCTTTTTAAAACCAGCACAAGCATTGACCCAGGAAAGGTAAAGGGTAAAAAAATAAATACATTAAATAAATATTTATATACTATAAACTTTCATAATGATATAGAATAAATTTTCATACCACCAGTATCAAAAAACAATTAAACCTTTTGGTATTTGTGCCTTCGTATTTCTCTCATCACAAACTGGGACCGAGTATTTATCTTGCCAACATTAAGATATCTTTAATCTACTTTCTAAGGAATCAAATCAATAAAAGTCTCACAAAGGTCCCAACACAGATTTTTGTCTCGACAGATTATTTCACCTCCCTTCTTTGTTTTTTACACATTTCTCCTCTTCACTTTATCACCTCTTTCTTGCCTTCTCAGTTTCTGTGCATTTCTCAGATTTTTAACATTTTTTCACCTCCTTTTCTTTTTTAAGTTTATGCACATTGTGGTGTGAAGATTTTTGCCTATAGGAAAAAAATTTCTTGGAATTTTGGTGTGACATAGCTCCTTCATTAAGCCAAAATAGTAGGAAAGTAGATAATCCTGTGGTGTGAAGATGTGTGAAGAAATAATTTTCTCGAGATTTTTGAAAATATTTTCTTAAATAAGGGAAGAAACATGAAAGCCAGAAAAACCTTCCGGTTCATGGGTCTTCTGTTGAAATGTCCAGTTCACAGTTTTTCTACCAGCTTTTTTCATATACGGTTTACACCATGTAACCTGACCAATTTCCAGTCCAGTTCCTAATTTTTATGGTCGAACAGGTTGGTCTGGTCCAGTTTTACAACATAGCAAATAAAATAACACACAAAAGCCAATCTGCAGGAACTAGTCGGTGATTGGGCACTAGAGCAGTAGACGGTCACTATATCATGATAATTACAAACAGCATCAGTTTCATAGCCCTTCACAGAAAACTTACATATTAATGTTATGTTAAATTATTTTGTATGCCAATAACACGATTAATATAGCTAGATATTCCCAAGAATATAACATAACTAGTTCTCCGCTTCAACAAGTCAGAAATCAAAGAAAAGGATTTTCCATGTCAAAGAACTTACGGTAGCCAAGAATTCTATCTAAATCCAGAATCATGTACAAACCTTTCTCCAGGGGCCAGATTTTGTAGTAATCGGAATTTGATTCTCTGACTGCAAAAACACAAGAAGAAAAATGAGAATAGGAATAAAATACCAAATCTGCAAATGTAAGACTATGAAACTGTAAAAAAAAAAAAAAGACCTCTTCAAACTTTTCAAAATTTTGCGTATCCAACTCGTCATTAACTTCTGGAATAAACGCAGCTTTGATCTGATATAACGTGCCCCATTCAATGCCTTTGAACCATGGGTGAGCCTGAGAAAAATAACAATACGAAGGGTAATTTTTATCAGTCTACTAGACTTCATATAACGAAGATTCTCAATGAAACATATCAGAAAACCTTAATTTCATTAGAGCCTCTTGTTCCAAGCCTTTGCTCAACATTACATAAGAGTTTACAGATGAGATCTTTTGCTTCTGGGGATAGCTTTGCCTCTTCGGGAAATTTTAAATGAGTTCTCCAGTTCACTATCTGCACCAAAATAAAGGAGCAAATTAAAACAGAAATTGGATAAAGAAGCAATACTTAAGCTATTGACATCAATATCAAAATGCCTACAAAAAATGAAGCTAGAAAGTGCACTACAGCATATTTTTTTCTCCCAGACAACGCCAGAAGATCACTACGACATTACAAGGTTATCAAAATGTCAAGAATTTGGTTGCAATTTTACAAGTTTGGCTTCATTCTTCACAAGCACCCATATCAACCTGGAAAAGTAAAATTATTATCTGATTGAAACCATTCAAATTGGGTAGATGCTTTATCCAGCATTATATACTGCTATCGTTTGTTAAATCTTAAGATCCTCAACTTACTGTACTACCTAGCCTAAAAATGGGAAGGACGTTGACAATCTATCAATTGGATCCAACAAAATGAGAATATGTTGAAGTTAATGATTTATCCTTCATCGTTATTTTAATAATTGTGAAAGCTTATAAGACAAATTATTAGCCAAAAAGTGGACAATGACCACACATTATTCAATGACAATAGCTTAGGAATATCAAGCAAAAAATGCCAAAGCAAACTAGTACATATTCTAGGATACAAGCTCAAAATAGAGAGAGCAAAATAAAGGAAAATTTGGTTTCACGGTCTCCCACATCATTCGAAGGAATTTTAAATAACCAGCAATGACTAGCTTGAATCATGATAAAAAGGAAGTGCATAATGGAAACAACTAATGTTAAAAACCTAATAATATAAGAACTTGTTAGAAGTGGTAAAGAGAATCAAATTATATACATAATAGTATGACATGAAACCCATTACATAATACTACTATTACCTTTCTGCAAGTAGACATAGGTTCATCTGAATAGAAAGGCGGATACCCCACAAGCATTTCGTACATGATAGCCCCTAGAGACCACCTGGGATAACACAGTCCACACTATCTCATTTAGATTGATAAACTATCTTCTTTTTAAGTTAAACATGAGAAAAACTTTACGTGGACAAACACAAACCAATCACATTCCATCCCATATCCTTTCTTCAGCAGAACTTCAGGAGCAATATAATCAGGTGTCCCAACAGTCGAATAGGCCTACAGAATTAGAACAGAAAAGAGATTTTTAATACAGATTATTACAGTCCTTATACCCCAGCAGGAAATTTGAAACATGAAAATCCAAAAAACCATCTCCTAGAAGTAAACATTTGAGAAATCCAAGATCTCTACTTATCTCCGGAATCCTTGGATTTTTTTTGAACTCCATGGACATGGAGGGAGATGGAACTTGGATCCTTGATATTTTTGCAAGTTAACAACTTACCCAAGATAGACTAGTTGAATAACAGTTGCAATTACATATCACAATGTAGAGGAGGCACTATATTTGAGAAACTAGAGAGGAGAAAATAAACTTTCTAGTCCACCATGCAGGAGGAGCCTTGATTTGAATGATGGAGATTCAAGCCAGGCTCAGAACTAACTTTTCCACTAATTTTATGTGTAGAAAACCTTAGGGAAATCCACTGACATAATCCACAGCAATAAACACATATTAGGGGTAATAATGAAAAATGCTCTGAAGGAACCAATATACTCTTAACAATTGGACACTAAGACTGAACCCTATTCCCAGCATTCTAGAAGAATACATATCAAATATAATAAGTGAGATTTGCTCCTTTTCTACATATCAGGATTGTTCTGTTCATATTTTATTATTTTCATTTTATTGTGCGGAGAAAGGAAAGGCGACACTCGGGACGGGAACAATAGTCATGTAAGTAGGACAGGATTGTTCTCCTATTCATATTTTTTTACAGATTTTTTCTTTGTGGGGAAAAAAGAAAGGCAGCTTTTCAGGAATGGGAATGACAGTCATGTAGGTGGGAAGCTTACAAGCATCCTCCTGTTCCTCTGCCAATGCTGCAGTTGCTCTTGTTGAGTACGCCTTGGTGCTGCAGGACGGCCATCACTTTGTAGAGCACCACTGTAGTTATTTCCTACTGAGAAATCCTTTTCTTGAATATTGGTGCAGTCCAACGGTTTACATAATCCAAAATCTGACAATTTCATGTGTCCATTTCTATCAAGAAGCAAGTTATCAGGCTTGATATCTCTGCAAAATTATAAAGAAACAAGCAACGCCTGATATAAAACCAGAAATTAAGACACGATAAAAAAAAAGCCGCCAACAAACCAACAGAATATTAGTATCTACCTATGAATGTAATTATGTTTGTGGATAGATTCAATGGCAAGCACTGTTTCTCCAACGTAAAACTTGGCATCCTCCTCAGTTAATATATCCTTACGCATAAGCAAAGTCATCATATCCCCACCAGGGAGATATTCCATTATAAGATAAAGATACTCCTCGTCTTGGAAAGAACAATAAAGTTTGACAATGCAATTGCTATCAACTTCTGCAAGTAGATTCCTTTCTGCCTTAACATGCTCAACCTGGACAAATACACAAAGGGAATAGTAGGAGCAGGCAAAAGTGCACAATAATTACAAACTTTAATATCACGTGTGCAAAATAAATCATACCTGGCCTCTGCGAAGCATCTCTGACTTCTTAAGCTTTTTCATTGCATATATGTGACCAGTTGACTTCTCCCGACATACTCTAACCTGCACCCCATGAAGGAATTCAAGTCAATGAATGCAAAGTGGGAACTTCTGTAAAGAGTATAATAATAGCATTAGCAGAATAATATTATATTCTTCCACTGGTTAAAGAGACAACAAGAAGCAGCAATTCCTGAAACAAATAAAAGCAGATGGACACATCTTTTCAACATATGCTCAAGTTCCGAACAGTGGAATTTCACCTCAGGTATGGAATCAGTTCACCACTAATGATTAAAACCTCAAGGAACAAGAATGCTCAGCATTCTTTCTATTAAATCGTCTAACTAGTATTTTGAGAAGCTTCAAAAATATCATGAGAAAGAAGCTAACATATATTTTATTTCCAAAGGCTGCATTTAACTTTTCAGCATGTGGAAAAGGCTAAACAGCATATTTGAATAAAAGCTTTCCTTAATGCACAATGTTCTTGGGAAAAAAAAAAAGCACTGTTCTGATTAATGAAATGAAACCAACTGATCATTTTACGCAATGTATAAATTCAACATCACATCACCCTGGCATAAGTTTTTAATTATCCGTTGTTTCTTGCTAGATTCTCTGCAAATGGGGAAGGCTCAAGGAAGTAGATCAGATCAGAGTGGGGAAAAACTGGTAGACAGATAGAAAGACATTTGGCCCACAAACATGTCAAGGGAGAGAGAGCTAGAGAGAGAGAGAGACCTCCCCAAATGCACCCTTTCCTATCATTGTTAATGGCTCAAAATCATCAGCACCCATTTTATGCCTCTGAAGGCGCATATATTCTGTTTCCTTTTTTTCCAGGTACTTCAATATATTGTTTTGCTCTTCCTCGGAGACCTCGGCATCAGCCAATTTCTTTTCAAGCGAATAACGCCTGCATGAAAACACAAGTAACCAGCTCATCATTCTAATTACTCAAAGAACCATAGGTAATTCAGTAACCAGTTTTCATGAGAACAGGGGTTGGTTCAACTCTCTTTACTCCTCTTCCGCCCATTTGTTCTATGTATATTCCTGATATATATGGTAAGACCAAAGCCACATAATCAATGGTCCAACAAGCATTATATTATTTTTGGGATCCATGTGAGTGACCAGTATGGATATTACGAACATGTTTCATGAACTCTAAATAGCTAGACTTCCTAAGAGCATATAATTTTGACCCCTACATTTCATGAGCACTATTATTTATAACTCAATATCAACTATCAAAAATACTATTTTAATTGCACTTTGACATTGAGAAAAAAATTGAGAGCATTGGTAGTAGATGGTATGCTTGAAATCGTCAATTGACATCATAATGCTGAATTGAAAAGAATTTTAAAGGTCACTCACCTTATGGGTTGAATCCATATTATTAGTTGCCTTCCTTTATGTCATATTTAAGATAATCCTTGCACGTGTCATATTTAATATATTGTATTTGCATTAATGAACGATAGTTGATGTCAACCAAGCTCGCGGCTAAATATAACTTTATAGCTTTCGAGTCTGAGCCTCACAAGCATCTAGCCACAAACCACCAAAACTTGATGAAGAGACACATAACCACAAGTGGCAAAGAATTCCTTCACGGCAGGTATTAATCAAGGCATATATGCACATCCCACTACTCTCACTTTCTCCAACTCTTTCTCCCTCTCTTAATCAATACAATTTACCTCCAAAGACAAGTTCTGCAATTCCTCAATCTCCCCTATCTATTGTATTCACTTCTTAAAGTTTCACAAAAGAAGTTTTAGCTTCACATTTGAGAAAAATTCAATTTTTTTTCATTAAACTCCCATAGATAAATATATACATTCCCCCAAAATGTCTACTGTTCAAATCATCTTCTACATATTACTTTCATCTAAATGATCATTTTTAAATTCCTTCCCAGCAACAAATAAGAAGAACCGGGTGTTTTTAAAAGTGTAAGAAACACAATTTTTGACTTCAAGCTGGAAGCAGTATTCACAACTTGAAAAGCCAAAAGTTGCAAGTGGTTAATAAAAATTGCCAGTGTAGTGCCAACCTAGAGATAACATTAAGTTTAAACAACTATATCTAAGGGATACTAAAACAAAAGGCATTAAAATGTTGTCGCGGGTGAGTAGATAAATGTGAAGATATTATGATAGTAGTTGCCACAAGATGCTATATGAGTATGCATAACAAGTCTCCAAAGACACGAGCATGAATATAGAAACATTGGGCAGTGCACTTGTGCTACAGTGTACAAATATGCTAAAAGAATACTGGCTTTATTTGGTATTTCATCGAGCCAATGTTGGCAAACCAGTGACCTTGCAAACATAGTGGCAGTAATAACTGACCGATGCAATGCTTCAAGCTCAGTAACTACCTTATTGAAAGAGTAATATCCAATAATAACCATGAGCTATTATATAGGAAATGTTATCGAGAAGTGAGAACCGAGCATCAGCAGCAGCAAGAACAAGTACCATTTATTTAATCATCTTCAAACTATTAAATAGGAAATGTTATTGTGAAATGAGGACTGTGCACCAGCCGTGGCAAGCCCAACATTTTTATTTAATCCCGTTCATAACTATTCCATAGGAAACGCTATCATAAAACAGGGAATGTGAGACAGCAGTGACTATTTGTAGTATATATTATTAGAAGTGATTATTTACTTACAGCTAATTTGGTTAATTAGGTAGTTTTCTTGTACATAATAGCTAATTTCCATATATCCTTTGTGTATCCTTAATTGGTTGTAACACTATAAAAAGAAGGTGAATATACACGTAACATTATTCAGCAAAATCGATTTTGGAATCGTATCAGAGCCCTAACCTTTTTCTCTAGTGTGGTTACGGCGTGTACTGTTCTTTTTTTTTTTTTGGAATCAATTAATTCTAGATTCACCATAGGAATGATCGTGGTGGTCACCTCTTGAGTGTGCGGCGGTCGATTGACGGTTCACAGTTGCCATCACTTGGTTTTCTCTCAGTCGGCGTTTTCAGGGTTAAGTTTCGGCAGTCTGCTTCTCAGTTTGTTGAAATCTCTACGTGTTCTTCGTTTCTACGCATTATCAGAATCCATGTGGTCTTCGATTTTTCCGACAGGCATGGTTTTTGGTCGGAGCAGATCTTCGTCCCTGTCGTTCCTCGTCTTCCAGCGTGCGTGCGTGAGTGAGTTCTTCCTCGGTGATAGTATTCTTGGGCCATTGTGTTGGGTTTTATGGTGTATTGAATTTTTAGTGGGCTTGGGATGTTGGTATTTTTAATTGATTTTTTGGTGGGCTAGGACCTGGGCTGCTGATTGACGTTTTTATTTACTTGGGTTGTAATTAATTTAGTGGTTGTATTATACTCGGATTCATCATGTCAAATGAAAAGATTGACTCTGTTTGCATTCGCTTTACCGGAAAGAACTACTCTTCATGGGCATTTCATTTTCAGTTATTAGTTGAAGGCAATGGTGATCTATGGGGACATATTGACGGGAGTATTCCTCCTTTGGATCCGAAAAAGGAAAAGGAAAAGTACCTTGCTTGGAAATCAAAGGATTCTCGGATTATGGCTTGGATCATTGGATCTATTGAAACTCAAATTGTTCTCAATCTCAAACCTTCTAAGTCATCCCGTGCTATGTGGGAGTACTTGAAGAAAATTTACACTCAAAGCAACAATGCTCGGCGGCTTCAATTAGAGCTTGACTTGGCAAATTTCGCTCAGGACTCTCGGTCTATTGAAGAATATTATTCTGGTTTTTCTAACATTTGGGCTGACTACACAGATATTATCTATGCTTCAGTCTCCCCAGATAGTTTGGAGGATGTTCAAGCTGTGCATGAAGGCATTAAGAGAGATCAATTTCTCATGTAACTGCGAAGTGATTTTGAACCTATTCGTTCCATCCTTATGAATCGAGAATCACTTCTAACTTTTGATGGCTGTTTGGGTGAGTTACTACGAGAGGAGCAACAACTTACCACTCGTACCTCGTTGGAGCAACATCATAATCAAGTAGTAACAATTCATGTTGCATATGCTACTCAAGGAAAATTTAAAACTCGAGACATATCTAGTGTTCAGTGTTATGACTGTAAGGGTTTGGTCATATGGCTCTTCAATGTCCAAAAAAAATGTGTAATTATTAGAAGAAGTCTGGCCATGTCATCAAGGAGTGTCCTGTACGTCCTCCAAGCAAGACTGGACGAGGTTATGTTGCTGTAACCACATTAGCATCAAGTTCTGCTTCGCCAGTTGCTCCTACTCAAGTTCCAACCTCTCACAATTCTACCCAACACACCATCACTCTTGACATGATCCAACAAATGGTTATTTCTGCTTTGTCTGCATTAGGTATCTCAGGTACAACATCAATTGCTCCTTGGTTACTAGGCTCAAGTGCTTCTAATCATATGACTCATAATACTCAATTACTTAGTAACCTTAGACCATATACTGGACCTCTCCATATACACATTTCCGATGGCAATACTCTTCCTATTTCGGCCGTAGGTGATGTATCACAAGATTTACCTAATGTTTTACTCTCTCCTAATTTGTCAACTAATCTTATATCCGTTGGCCAACTAGTTGATAACAATTGCAAAGTGTCTTTTTCTTTTTCTTGTCTTGTGCAGGATCAGGTATCTGAGAGGATGATCATGAAGGGGGCCCAAGGCGGGACGTCTCTTTCCCATTTCACCGAAACTTATTTCATATTTTCCTATTGTTTGTAATTCTGCTACTTTCGATATTTCTTATTGGCATAAGATATTGGGACACCCGAATTCTAATGTATTACACCATTTGTTAAAATATGGCTTACTTGGTAATAAAACTTCTGCTTCGGTTTTATCTCACTTGATTGTGCCTCATGTAAACTTACTAAGAGCAAGATTTTACCATTCCCTTCTTATGGTTCTCGTGCTTCGCATATTTTTTATATTGTTCAAAATGATGTATGAGGTTTATCACCTGTAATTTCTCATGCCCATTATAAATATTTTGTTACATTTATTAATGACTATAGCGCTTCACATGGGTTTACTTTCTTCGTGCAAAGAGTGAGGTTTTTCTGTTTTTCAGTCTTTCACTGCTCTCATTGACAACCAATTTTCCTCTTCTATCAAGATCTTACGATCTGACTCGGGAGGGGAATATATGTCTAATACGTTTCAATCTTTCTTACAAACCAAATGGATTATTTCTCAGCGATCTTGTCCTTCTACACCTCAACAGAATGGGGTGGCAGAACGCAAGAATCGTCATCTCCTTGACATGGTTCAAGCTCTTCTGATTGAGTCTTGTGTTCCCTCTCGATTTTGGCGTGAAGCGTTGTTTAATGGTATTCATCTCATAAATCGATTACCTTCTCCCGCTATTGATAATGTTTCTCCGTTTTATAAGCTATTTGGTCATCATCCCACATATTCTCATCTTCGTCCTTTTGGTTGTATCTGCTTTGTTCATTTACCACCGCATGAAAAGACAAAACTAACACCTCAATCTGTTAAGTGTGCCTTTATGGGATATGGTGGGACTCAAAAAGGATATGTTTGTTATGATCCGTGACACATCGGATTCGAGTTTCCCGAAATGTTGTTTTCTTTGAAAAACAATCCTTTTTTACTTCAAAAATTGCTGTCTCTCCCCCCGTGTTCTCCGTATTACCTAATTTCCCTACAGAATTCTCTCGATACACGCCTGGTCTAGTTTACACTCGTGGGCATGCCCATCAGTTACTGTTCCCGAACTTCCTTCTCAGACATCTGTCTCCTTAAGCCTCCCTAAATATCCACACCAGATGATCTCCCGCATCCTGTCACTTTTCGTCGCACCTCTCGTGTTCCTCGACCTCCGGATAGGTATGGTTTTTCTTCCCATAGCTCTATGTCTGCTACCCTTAATTCAATTTCCATCCCTACCTTTTATAGACAGGCAATAGAACAGGAGTGTTGGCAATAGACAATGAATGCAGAACTTGAGGATTTTGAAGCCAATCAAACTTTGGACTGCCGACTGTCAAACCCATTGGGAGTAAATGGATATATTCGGTCAAACTTCGTTCTAATGGTTCTCTTGAGCGCTATAAAGCTCGGCTAGTTGCTTTGGGTAACCGTTAGGAGTATGGAATTGACTATGATGAGACATTTGCTATCGTGGCCAAAATGACCACTGTCCGCCTCTTGTTATCTCTTGCTGCTTCTCAGTCTTGGTCTCTTCATCAAATGGATGTCAAGAACGCGTTTTTACATGGGAGCCTCAAGGAGTACATTTACACGAAACTTCCTTCTGGTATGCCTCTTCCCACTGTTGATTCTGTATGTAAGCTAAAACGCTCTTTGTATGGTCTTAAGTAGGCTCTTCGGGCTTGGTTTGACAAGTTTTGTCACACTCTTTTGGATTTCTCATTTACTCATAATCAGTATGACGCATCTCTGTTCCTTCACAAGATGATGGCATCGTTTTGTTGTTAATATATGTAGATGACATTATTATCTCCAGCTCAGACCACAATCTTATTCAGAAGCTTCGGCAACATCTACACTCAGTTTTTCATATGAAAGATCTTGGTCAACTTACTTCCTTGGGTTAGAGGTTCATACTACATCGCACGGTATCTTCTTAAATCAACATAAGTATATTCAAGACGTGATTAAGTTGGCTACTCTATCTGAAGCCTCCTCGGTTTATGCGCCTTTGGAGCTTAATGTTAAATATCGAAAAAATGAAGGAGATATTCTTCCAGATCCTACTCTTTATCGAAAGTTAGTAGGTATATTCTCTCCAAATCCTACTCTTTATCGAAAGTTGGTAGGTAGGTCGTCGCATATATCTCACCATCAACACATCCAGATACTTCCTTTGCCGTTCATACTATTAGCAAGTTTATGGATACCCCTCGTCATCTTCATTTGGTAGCTGTTCGTTGCTTTATTCGGTACCTTATTGGAACTACTCATCGTGGACTCTTCTTCCCTCGGGGGTCGTCTCTTACGCTCACGGCCTACAGTGATGCTGATTAGATAGGTTGTCCTGATTCTCGTCGATTTACTATTGGTTGGTGTATCTTTCTGGGTGATGCTCTCATTTCTTAGAAATGTAAGAAACGAGACTGTGTTTCTAAGTTCTCCACTAAGGCTGAATACCGAGCTATGTCCGCTGCATGTTCTGAGGTTGTGTTATTACGTGGCCTTATTGCAGAACTGGGTATCACTCAATCACAGCCTACACTGCTAAATGGTGACAATACTAGTGCTATTCAGATTGCGGCCAATCCTGTGTACCTTGAACGCACCAAACATATTGAAGTGGACTGTCATTATATTCGGGATGCCTATGATTCCAAAGTCATCACTCTTCCCCATGTTTCCACTACTCATCAAGCCGCAAATATATTCACCAAATCCCTGACACGACACTGTCATAATTGACTCAACACCGTCATAATTCTCTAGTAGCAAATTGATGCTTGTGGACTCCCCAACATCAATTTGAGGAGGGGTATTAGTAGTACATATTATTAGAAGTTATTATTTACTTACAGCTAATTTGGTTAATTAGGTAGTTTCCTTGTACATAATAGTTAATTTCCATATATGCTTTGTATCCTTAATTGGTTGTAACACTATATAAAGAAGGTGAATACACACGTAAGATTATTCAGCAAAATCGATTTTGACAATGACAAGACCAACTAACATTTATTTAGCCCCTGTTTGAGTCACATTAAATTTCTCATTCTCATTCTTCTACTCATTTTCAACTATACATTTTTCAATAAAATAATATTTTCCATCATATCAATAACTTTTCCTTCTTTTTCAATCACACATTCGTCATCAATCTACTATTTCAAAATACATTCTTCCAAAATAATGTGGCTCAAACACACCATTAATCTATTTCGATAAGCAGGCCAACTAGCACAAACACTCTCCATCAAGATCATAACTACTTAATCTACATTAAAAATAATTTAAAAACCTTAACAATATCATGTGCGTAATCTATATAAGTTGATTCAACATCAACCCGATCAAAAGACAAAAACGCATATCTGAAAGGTGTCATTAGATGAAAGAAAAAATATATAAACTTTATGGATTGGCATGTTTTTAGATATCAACACCAAATAAATTACAAGTACAAATTAAATTTGAAGATAATTTCTCCATATTTTGAGTTCCTTCTTGCAACCAAAACAATGTTCCAATTTCCAAGATCATGCGTACAGTATCAACTATGAAATCTGTTTCTTGGAAATTGATGTGTTGCAAACCTATCGTTAATATTTCATGAACTACTTCAGTATAACATGGTCAAATGCAGGCTCATAAAAACATTAAGTACTAAAACATAGGTAATTAAATAGAAATAATAGCTGTCGTGTTGCAAACCTATCGTTAACATTTCATGAACTACTTCAGTATCACATAGTCAAATGCAAACTCATAAAACGTTAAGTACTAAAGCATAGGTAATTCAATAAAAATGATAAGAGTCCCTTCCAACCAGCACAGAAATATTAAATCTTTGTAGAACTACAAAATGAAAACAAGAAGCACATAGAAATTCCAGAGTAGAAAATTAGATACTTCCAAGCACCAAATGTACCAGGATGATCTATGTCAAATGTTCTTGCATGCATCCATAGACTCGCTCATTTAGTGAATTTTTCAAACTCCAATGAAAATATATAATAGTATAGACACGGGCTTGAACATCGCCATAAACAATAAGCAAGTGTTACACAGATTGCAATGAATGCGACAATAGGGTCACTACCTCTCCCTCCGCTCTTGAAGGCTCCTCATCTGCTCCTTGTAATGTTTCTCTATATACTGCTTCGCAGCCTCAACCTTCTGCTTAGTTGCATTTGAAGGTGTTTCCTCATGCACCGGCATTTTTGACCCTTCCTTCCCATTAATTTTAGGTTCCTTTTTCTTGCTCGGAGGCTTGGGTTTCTCTTTGAAATGGAATAACTTTTTGAACCAACACCTGGCAGTCTCCATTTACCTCGGCCTTTTTTCTTGCCAAAGCTCAAATAACAACTACCTGGTACAAATCTGCACTCTTATATATGACTTTCTTTAATCAGAAAGCACCAATATCATTTACAGAATCAAAAAATATCAAGGCACTGAAAAGAGACCAATTTATAAGCTCTACATTAAAAACAAACAAAACATTGTCAATTAATGCAGGACAAAAGTCTTTTTAGTAGCCACCAAACTTTGTTAGGTAGCCAACTAGAGGACAATTCTATATCACAACTTACAAATTTTCATTTCTGACTGATTTTCATATCCAATTTTCAAATGCATATATTGATAAAGCGCAGTATATTTCTAATCTCAAATCAAACTTGTTCTCAAAATTATTTCTACCTCACCCCATAAACAAAAGAAGATAAAAGAGTACAATATATTAAAAGTTGACAAATATTATAGTACACCAAGAAACAGGAAGCAATTACGTGAAACAAAAATAATTCTGCAGTCTCGAAAGGTAAAAGATCTCAACTTTTCACTAAACTGCCAAGTAGCCAACAAAGTACTAATATTACACATTGACTCTCATAAACTAGCTCCCTGGAAAAAGAAGAATGCCTACCTCCACCGGCCGCCCACCTCCACCGGCCACTCCCATCAAAAGTGAACCAAAATTGTATAATTTAAAAAAATAGAGAACCCTCATGAGAACCATTAAATTTCAACACATCAAACCGATCCATAAGAACCTTTTTCCAGTAAAAACAAAACAATTTAAGAAACCCGAAAGTCTGTTAACCATTATTTCTCCGATCAAATCCGGAAAAAAAAATATGAAGAGATAGAGATGGTGTTTGTACCGATGAAATCCAATTTCGCATATGGAATTGAATTGAATAGCTAGTGCATTGCAGTATCGTACGGTGCCAATAACAGCACAATGAATTTTGAAAACCCTATAATTGAAGAAGAAGACTACTTTGATGTCCGCTTTATGCTGTGAAAGCATAATTCGATATTAGTACAGGAACGCAGAGAGATATCTCTTTCATTTGCTTTATTTAGCGATGAAAACCTTTTCTCCAAATTAAAAATTCAACGGTTGGTTTTATTGCTTTTACTGGTTTTATAATATATGTATTTGCTAAATACGGTTGCCCCAACTTTCATTTAATTAATTATGTTCTTTGAATCATATTATTTTTTTCATTTTCATTCTTCTTCTCATTTTCAATCACGCATCTTCAATCACATATTCTCCACCACATCACTTCAAAAAAATGCATTATCTCATTTTAATGTACACCAAACGGGTCTTAAAGTTGATGTTAGATTAACCGCATGTTTTTCGAGTCAAAAGAGAATAATATTATTTAGCACCATTAAATTTAAAACATCAATTTAGATGATATTATGTGATAGACTTAGCGAGATGTGTTATGTATTTTATGTTATTGTTACATGGATTGATACTTTAACATTACTGCTATTAAATGAATTGCTCACATATAAATTAAGATAATTTTTTTTCCTTTCTTGAACATCTTACTATATGGGATTTGGGAAGGTCTCAAATTTGCTTCTTTACACAATTTAAGTATCCATAGGTTTCATTCACTATTACAATACGATGATTAATAATCAAAAACTTGTTCTATGCTACATAAAGTTCTCTGGTACACAGTATCTCAGTCCTACTCTATTCTTTTCAATTATTAGTTGTTAGTTTTATTTGGCACGAGGTTAATGGAGTCGCTCATGCTACATTTAGACATGTTTCTTTCTACTGTATAACTATTGAGCTACGGGTGATATTGTAATTTCACAATCTAATACCTAAAAGATATGATGCATAAGGTTCATGATGCATTAACGATTTAGTCAATGTACAGCAACATGAACTAATAATTATTATTATAACAATTATGTATGGGTTATAAATGATAAAAAGGTTAAAATATTGAAAATCAATATCTAATTTGAGTACTAGGCTGTTTTTGACAAAAACATGGACCACTTGACTTTTCACGCCAATTCGAGCACTTGTGCAGATTGATAGACATGGACTGCTAAGGTTTAGAAGTTTATAATCTAGATTTCATGTGTTTTCACTTTTAATGTGTGGGAAATAATACTTTCTCATTTATTGCTTTTGGACATTTATTGAGTTGGGAAATCCTAGCCCTCATTGACATTTCTTGGTGGAGCATAAAAACTCACTAATGATGTGTGGATGTTTTTAATTACAATAAATAAATAAATAGAATGAGAATAATTATTTCACAAATTGGCATTTGACAAGTTTACTTTTTGACTTGGCAAAAATTAACCAAAAATGGTGATTACTTTTGGTCATGCTTCAAAACCTTTTTTTTATAAAGAAAGTGAGAGTAAAATTATTACGTGAGGCCTATAATTTATCATGCTGAACCACAAATTAATGGACCAGTGTACTTATAAACACACTCAGGCATTTGCTTAGAGAAACAAAATTTTACTTTTAAGTGAAGAAATTTGACATGATTTTTGTTTATCAGATGCATCATGTGTGTGTGTAACCCAATTACTTCAATAAAAAAATTGGAGCAATTTTAATAAAATAATTCAATATAATATTCGTTAGGCATTTGTCAATATGAGGAACTCACACGTTACACAAATGGCATAGGTTTGGAGAAGTGAATCATATAGCGAAGTTTAGAACTGAACATGAACGTTAGGCTTCAATTTGGATAACAATTATTACACCACTAATGCTTCTTTACCCAAGTTGGGTTACAAAAGGGGTATCCCTTTTGTAACCCAACTTGGGTAGTGTAGCATGATTCTTATTACACTTGGGCACCTCCCCTTTTGTAACCCAACTTGGGTAGTGTAGCATGATTCTTATTACACTTCCTCCGCATGTATAGCTAGTCATGTAGGAATATGAGTGCTACGTTAGTAACATTTACCAACTCATTCTAGATCTCTTAGAGGCCACATGCGATCAATAAACCTTGCAAGAGCCGCGTATGAGCCATGGGCACCTCGCTTGGTCAATAAGCCTCGTTCATATGTAGAGCCTCATTGAAGAGCGCATTGGTGGAATTCCTAAGATTGCATGTCAAATATGCCCGATAGGGCCCTCGAAGCTGGCTTGCTTATCGAGAAACCTCAAGGATAGGCAGGGACGGACCCAGCTCGTCATCCCAGCCGGGGCGGACGTTGACCGGTCAACGCCGACCGGTCAACTTCAGTGCTTTTGCTAGCCTATAGCTTGTATATAGTTGGTGTTTCAAGGTTAGTCCCGAGAAGTTTGTGATGCTTGAACAAAAGCTAATTTCAATTTAGATCTATTGCAAAGTGTTTTTTAGCTTTCATTTGCCTCTTTTTAACTGCCCTAAAGCTAGGAAGCCTTGCACACTTTTCACATAAACCTTCCAAAATACTTGATAGAGAAATGTCAATGAAACTAACCATATTCAGCAGCTTCCAAACAAGAGAAAATAGTTCGAAAGACACTCCTGGATATGAACTAACGAAGTGAATATCGCCACATATGATTTAGTTATTGACATACTAATTTTTTTGTGAGTAACCATTATTATATAGACGAGTTTTTTTTATTATCTCTCTATTTCTTTTTTTGACATCGAGGATATAGAAATAGAAAAATATACGATGATTGAGTGGAGAGTAATAAACAAGCGTTCCACATGGATTTCCTACCTTAATTTGTTCATGGACAACAGAACTCTTCCTTTTTCGTTATTGACTAAATGGAGGACTAAAGTAGACCAATATGATGAGGAGAACATTGTAATTACTCCTCAGTCCTCACAGATCCTCGAAAAAAACAGTTTGTCTGATTTACAGAGGTAATTTCCACAGGTTGTTAGCTTCACAAATTGACGAGTTATGTAAGTAGACTTCTCTATGTAAATAAATTATTTGGCTAGATTTTATTTATGATATGAACTCTCAGGCTTTGAAGTAATCTTATTTTGTTCTTTCTGAATTAAGGAAGATACACCCCAATATTCATGAATAACGGTACTGTTATCCGATAACGATGTTGATAAATGATAATTGATTTTTGTGAGCTAANAGCTTGTTTGGGAAGGATTAAAATTCAATTAAAATTGAAAATATAGCCGTTATTGGGTCCCACTCGTCTAATAAAAATCAACTCCAACGGCTATATTTTCAATTTTAATCTGATTTTAATCCATCTCAAATAAGCTCTCAATGTGTGGGAAATAATACTTTCTCATTTATTGCTTTTGGACATTTATTGAGTTGGGAAATCCTAGCCCTCATTGACATTTCTTGGTGGAGCATAAAAACTCACTAATGATGTGTGGATGTTTTTAATTACAATAAATAAATAAATAGAATGAGAATAATTATTTCACAAATTGGCATTTGACAAGTTTACTTTTTGACTTGGCAAAAATTAACCAAAAATGGTGATTACTTTTGGTCATGCTTCAAAACCTTTTTTTTATAAAGAAAGTGAGAGTAACAATTATTACGTGAGGCCTATAATTTATTATGCTGAACCACAAAATAATGGACCAGTGTACTTATAAACACACTCAGGCATTTGCTTAGAGAAACAAAATTTTACTTTTAAGTGAAGAAATTTGACATGATTTTTGTTTATCAGATTTCAATAAAAAAATTGGAGCAATTTTAATAAAATAATTCAATATAATATTCGTTAGGCATTTGTCAATATGAGGAACTCACACGTCACACAAATGGCATAGGTTTGGAGAAGTGAATCATATGGCGAAGTTGAGAACTGAACATGAATGTTAGGCTTCAATTTGGATAACTATTATTACACTTCCTCCGCATGTATAGCTAGTCATGTAGGAATATGAGTGCTACGTTAGTAACATTTGCCAACTCATTCTAGATCTCTTAGAGGCCACATGCGATCAATAAACCTTGCAAGAGCTGCGTATGAGCCATGGGCACCTCGCTTGGTCAATAAGCCTCGTTCATATGTAGAGCTTCATTGAAGAGCGCAT